ATCTGTATCTCTATGCTTAAGAATCTTTTCCATCTCATACTCTAGTTTATTGTTTTCCACTTCTGCTGTATTATCTATTAGTATTTCCTATACTGCTAATTCCAGCAATAAAATGTGGAAAACCGAGTATATCCTCATCCCATAAGATAATGCTAACTTGTAATTAACTGGGAAAATCTATTGCAAGATTTTGAATGATCCCAGCTTCTTGTAGTTAAGTTTGTTACTAAGTCTAGTTGTTTTGATATTTTTTCGAAGTAGGTAAACCTTATCTCCCTCCTGTAGAATTAGTTCCTCAATCCTCTTGGAATTTGCATATCGTACTATTCGTTCCTGAATGAATCATAGTTCTAATCAGAATTCCTTCTGAACTTTCTTAATCTTCTTAACCCTTTTATCCGCAGCTTCTACATCTGCTCTCAGCAGTATCTTATAATAAGCTGTTGGATTGTATCCGTAGAATGTGAAGAATAGTAATTTCTTCGTTGTGCTTGTATCCGCGCTATTATAAGCAAACTGTATAAGAAGCAACAGATTAACTTAGTTATCCTATTCCTGATTGATATAGTATCAAAGATACTATTCAACAACTTAATTCATTCTTTCCATTTATTCATCTGTTTATAAGTGAAATGCTATAAACATTTTATAGTATATTCTGAGCTGTTTCATAAGTGAAATCCAAAACTTTAAATTGAACTTTCTATTTCTATCAGAGATCACTTCTTCTGATATATCATAATTAGCAATAATCATTCTGAGAAATGCATATACGAGTTCTTCTGCTATACTGCTTTTCTTATAAAGAAGAAAATAAGCATACTTGCTCAGTCTGCAAACCACTACTAGAATGCTATCGTATTGTACTTTAATTAAGAGTTCTTGTAAGAGAGATAGCTTGGTAATAAAGTTTAGACTAATGAATTGCTAAATAATCATAAGTACTGATAAGGGATACAGTAGTCTGTAAGGCTTGTATTTTTCTGCCTTATTCTTCTTGCAGCTATTGTATTGTTATAAAATATTCTCAATCCTCTTTCTAAGGCTTAGTAGATTCCAGTATCTTTTGATGTATTTGTAGATTGCTCTAACTCTCTGATGCTCATATGCTAGTGCACTGTATACATTCTTAATGTAGTTGTCTTGTTCGTTCGGAATTATTGATTTTGGATTCCTTTCCAAGAATTCGATTCTGATAGCAGCATTCAGTTCTCTATATATGTTAATAAGATTTTCCAACTTATTCTGAACAAAGATGTTCTATATATCCGAGGAATCTGCATCTCGATAATCTGATCTTCTGCTGAAAGCATCCGCTTATTCGTTTTCTAAGCCTTTGCAGTATATAATCTTGAAATCGAACTGTAAGAGGAATTCTGCCTATCTAACTTGTTGCTTGTTTAAAATCTTAGTTATTATGAATGTAATTAGATTCTTGTAATCTGAGTAAACTATAATCGGATATTATACGCTAATGAGGTAATATTGCTATTTCTTAAAAGCTTTTACTATTGCTATGAGTTTCTAATTAGGAATCCTGTAGTTAACTTCTGAGCTGTTCAACTTCTTTAAGAAGTTGCTTATAATTCTTAAATATTCTTGATCATCTTGCTAGCTAAGTTGTTCTCCGAATGCATATTCTAATATATCAGTCTCAACTTCAAAGGGTTTGTAGGGATCTGCTTTATATAGAATCGGTTCTGAAGTAATATGCTTAATGATTTCGTTGAAGGCTTTTTATATCTTGAAGATCTACTCGAAGAGTTGATCCCTTTTGATAAGATTCATAAGAGAATGCGCAATTCAGCTATAATTCTTAATAAACTATCTGTAGAAGTTAACATATTCGAGGAAAAACCTAACATCCCTGATATTCCTGGGAATGAGCTAATTCCTAACAGCTTCTACTTTATCTTTCTGTAGCTTAATGCATCCTAGCTTAATTATAAATCCGAGATAATCAACCTTTTGTACATGAAAGTAACTCTTTGCAGATTCTACAAGAAGTTTTGCATCTTAGAGCGTTTGCAACACTGTTTCCACATATTTCTTGTATTCTTCCAATATCTGAGAGTAAATAAGAATATTATCAAGATAAGCAATAACGAACTGATTCAGATATTCGCACAGAACATAATTGATCATCTCTTGGAATGAAGCTGGGGCGTTTGTTAAGCTGAAGAGCATAATCACATATTCGTAGTATCTGTAGCGCATTCTGAAGGCAGTTTTCCATTCTTCTCCTTCCTTTACTCTAATCAGATTGTAAGCTCCTTTTAAATCTAGAACTGTAAACCATTATACTCCCTGCAATCTATCTTGTAATTCCTTAATGAATAGCAACAGATATTGGTTCTTGATTATGATATTATTGAATTGCTTGTAGTTAATACATAGCTTAAGCTTGCTGTTTTTCTTAGATATAAATAGAATGAGATATTCTGCTGATGATTGCAATAATCGTATATATTCTTTCTTAAAGTTCTCGTCGAGATATTTCCTAAGTACCTCTAGCTATACCTTGTTTAATCTATAGATAGGGAAGAATTTGGGCTGTTTCTCTTCTTGTAGCAGAATCTCGTGATTGTATAGGCTGTATTCTAGCAATCCTGTATCCAATTCTTCCTGAAACAGTTTCTTGAACTTGTAATATTCTCGTAGTATGTTTGCAAGTATTAGTTCTAATCCTTGTGCTGTTTCTGCTACCTGGAGGAATAGTAGATACTGTTGAGCATACTTCTTTTCTGATAGCGTTTTCGAGAGCTTTGAGCATTCGCTCCGAGCTGAAGCGAGCGCTCAAAGGCTTGGTTTCGAAGTTTTTCCTGTATGAATCTACAATCCACTTTCTGAAGCCTTTCCTTATTGCTTCAGAGCGAACTGACTTGCTAAGAGTCTCGCTTCCATTATTTTGCTAACCTGTTGATGCCCTAGCATTATTTGGATTCGCTTATCACTAGATCCTTCTCCTTAAACTGCTAGCTCTGCTAACTTGGAGATATATATGAAATCGTATAAAGCTTCTTTTCCCGAATGTTCTTCAATCACTAGCTTTAATCCTATACTATTGATTATAACTATCTCTCTGGATACAGCTTGTTCTTATGAAATCTAGTCAGTAGTTCAATCGATTCAAGAATTATGCTTCTTAAGCTACGGAAGTCCTATAATCAGCTTATGCTATACTATATCCATAATATCAAAAGAAACTCTGATTATATATCCTTAGATTAAAATAAATAGATAATCAGTCTTCTTATTAATTACTTCTTAGTTGTATGCAACAGATTATTCTTCTATAGTGCTGAGAGTATATGAGCGCTTCTTTCATTTCCATTGTAGTTATGCCTGATTGATAATATATGGAGATATAAAGTTTCCTTGAGCGCTACTATTCAATAGTGCGCTGTACTTATATCCTTGAATGTATATATCGAACTTAATATAAGCATAATCTGTTCTAGAAGCTTTATATAGAAACTGTTTCAATCTAATCATCTGCAGTTCCTTTACAAGCAATTCTATCCTTTTGAATTTGTTAAGAACTGCTTGTTCTTCTAAGCCTGCTTTGCTGCTTCTCAAGCAAGCTTCTTAGCTTATTTTTGCTTATATCATCATTATTCCTAATTTTCCTTCTATTAATGCTAGTTGCAAATCTTATTGCTAATATAAATTATACAGAATATCATCTTGCACTATTACTATTTTATTTTCTTGTTCATGCATTGTATGGAATAGTTATCTAGCAGTTCGATATATGCATTGTAGTGCTATCTGTTAAGAATCTTCCTGAAGCGGAGTTTCTGTTCTTCAATAGCTTAAAGGATTTGTTCTAATTCTCTGATAGAGAACTATTCATATTGCATCTTCTTTGAGAAGTATGCTTAGCAGCTGTGGTAGATGCAGGAGATTTATGCTAGTTCGTAGTATAAGTTGTGAAGTGAGCTAATTCAAGAATCCTCATCTTCTTATACCTCGATATTCTGTAAGGGGATGCAGATGAAGAGCTCTTCCAGCTTTATTCCGTAGATAAGATATTCGATCCATGTTGTTTTCTTGTTTTATCTAATGCTGAAGGGAAATCTTTCTTTAGGCTTGTTGAGTATGTTGTTTGTAGGAAGCTTCTGCGGGCTGCTAGATTGTTTGCTCTGGCTTAATCCTTTTATTGCTTGAGAAGCGTTCTCTATGTTGCTTAGATATTTGTATCAGTAGCTAAGAGGATATCATCTCTTATTCATATCTCTGATCATAGTGCTTAGCATAAGTAATGAAGAATGTTGAAGAGTATCGTTACTAAGTTCTTCTTCCAATGCTTGAATGCTCTGTTCAGTGATATTGAAGCAGTTTGAGTTGTTGCTGCTCGTAGTTGTGCTGAGCATATATCCTCATTCTGCTATTGCTATTTGTCTGCAGCGCCTAGATTTCTGAGGAAACTATCCTAAATCTTTCTTACTCGAGAGATATGTTAAGCAGTTGTTGTTATAACAGAATATTCAGCTGAGATTTCTATAATCAACAGAATCTAATACTTGCTTCAAGGGAGTATTTTTGCTTAGTTAATTGGGTTTCTATTGCTAAGCAACATTTATCTAGTATTCTTTCTGAACTGGTTGCTATTTGTTCTTCCGGGATTGATAATAGTTGCATACAATGTGTTCTTATTTGTTGCAATTATAGCAAGTAATGCTATTTCTCTTGCTATACTGCTTATTAGCAGCATTGAGTTCTATGAAACTGGTATATATAGTGCTGCTCTAAGCTATGCTGTTATATTAACTGCTATTCTTATTTTGGAGTTTCTTGCTCGTATTAGCTGGAAATCTCCAAGTCTAGCTTTCTTCCTTTTTGAACTTCTCTATTTATTGTTCATATAGATAGTTGTTGATGCAGATAGCTTGATTGGAGAATATTGCAAAGTTCTCTAGCTAATTCTGCTTGAAGATTTCATCTTTAATATTATTCTTGAATTCCTTATAATAGTGCTCTATAAGATTCTTATCTTTCTATGAGAGTTGTGCTAAGAGCTGCTTGAATCTAACTATATAAGCAGAAGCTAACTTAGTCTGCTTGAGATTCATAAGCTGCTGAGCTGTAATGCATTCTTTGTTAGAGTTGCTAAAGATCTTCTTAAGAGCTTTCTCAAAGCTCTTAAAGAAATCAAACATATCCTTGATACTCTGAATATGCACATTGAGATTATTCTGATACTTCAAATGATTACATAGAAAAGGCTTGTATCAAATGAGAGCATTCTTTTCGAAATGAATCTCTGCAAGAATAACTTTCTCAGATTCTTTGATAAACTAAGTCTTGTAATGCAGGAAATACACTCTGCAGTGAATAAGGAATCCATGTAGTATCTTTTGATTGCTATCATATATAGCAAGCTTATTCATTTTGTATATCTTTCCAGCACTACTGGTGATTGCAGAGATGGATTGCGCCTGCTAAGCCTGTTGAGCTAGCTGGGCCTGCTAGTTAGCAATGGTAGCGCTCTGAGCCTGCTGTTGTTCGCATAGGTTCTGGATATACTGGGTAAGCTGATATATCTGGTTGATTAGTTCTTCCTGAGTAGAGATGCGCAAGAACAAAGGAGTTTCTGAAGAAGCTATCATATTCTGTATTGCTTAAGGAGATAATACTAAACTGTTCTTGAACAAGAGTTATCAAAATGTAATGAGCACTATAGCAATCCGAAGATTCCTAAGTATATAAAGAGGTTTATACTAACAAGAGCAATATCAAAGTATTAAGTTCTTGAATACGGAACTGTACAAGTTTCAATAAGCGATGCAAGTATTTACTGTTTTTGAAGCTATTAGAGTAGAGAGTAATCTGATATTTAGATTAACAACTGAAGAGCTATGTACTGAATCTATCTAATGATAATGAATGTATTCTTATATATCCAGCTCTTCAGTATAGCTTGTTGGGATCGCTAGCGAGCTCAGCAATCCAAGGTGTGAAGCTCGTTGGGATTGCTAGCAAGCCCAACAATTCTCCCTCCTTTACAACTCTAACCCTGGGTTATGTAATCAGTGCTTTGTCAGAATGTTGAGTCCTTAACACCTGGTTCTTGTTACTCGTGACCTGTTCTGTGACCTGCATGTTGAATGAGTCATAACAATTTCTCAAGCAATGGAAAGATCAAGCTAGAACGAGCGATTCAACAGTTCACTAGAATCTCTTATAAACAATAAACCCAAGAAACCTACAGAAAGATTCCCCTTCAGTATTGGGTAGAACAAGGAAACAATATAGATTGAATATCTTATTTACAGAATAGAACTAGAAGAGCTCTTTATTTGCATCTTCTTGCAGAATATCGAAGCATGAGAAGATAAGAACCTTCGGATCAGCTTATTTCACAATCTATATCATGAATTAGCTTGGATCTCCTGCATCTATCATAGCTGCAGAATACATTTCTCGGAGAAGATGCAATACGAATAATTCCCTATCAGAGAACTAGAATAAATTCTTTAGGCTGTTGAAGAACAGGAACTCCGCTTCAGAGAGATTCTCAACAGATAACACTACAATGCATATATCGGGCTACCGAATGATTGCCTCATGCAATGCATAAATAAAAAGATAGAGTAGTAGCAGTGCAAAACAATACTCTGCACGATTTATATTAATGATAAGATTTGCAACTAGCATTAATAGAAGAAAGATTAGGAATAATGATAATATGAGCAAAAACAAGCTAAGAAGCTCGCTTAAGAAGCAGCGAAGCAGGCTCAGAAGAACAAGCAGTTCTTGATAAACCCAAAAGAATAGAATTGCTTATAAAGGAATTGCAGATGATTAGATCAGAATGGTTCCTATATAAAGCTTTTAGGATAGATTATACTTATATTAAGTTTAATATATATATTTAAGAATATAAATATAGTATACTATTGAATAGTAATGCTTAGGAAAACTTTATATCTCTATATATTATCAATCAGATATAACTATAATGGAGATGGAAGAAATGCTTATATACTCTCAGCACTATAGAAGAATAATCTGTTGCATATAATCAAGAAGTAATCGATAAGAAAACTAATTATTTACTTATTTTGATTCAAGAATGTATAATCAGAGCTTCTTTTGATATTATGAATATAGCATAGCATAAGCTAATTATAGAGCTTCTATAGCTTAAGAAGCATAATTCTTGAATTGATTGAACTACTAACTAGCTCTTATAAGAACAAGCTATACTTAGAGAGATAGTTGCAATCAACAGCGCAGGATCGAAGCTAGTAATTAAAGAATACTCAGGAAAAGAAGCTTTACACAACTTCCTATATACCTTCAAATCAGCAGAGCTAGCAGTTCAAGGAGAAGAATCTAGTAATAAGCGAACTCAAACAGTGCTAGAATGCTAACAGATTAGCAAAACAACAGAAGCAAGACTCTTAGCAAATCAGTCTGCTTCAGAGCAATAAGGAAAAGCTTCAGAATGTGAATTGTAAATTCATACAGGAAAACTCTCGAAACCAAGCTCTCGAGCGCTCGATTCAGCTCGGAGCGAATGCTTAAGGCTTTCGAAAACGCTATCAGAAAAGAAGCATGCTCAATAATACCTACTGTTCCTCCAAGTAGCAGAAATAGCATAAGAACCAGAACTAATACTTGCAAACATATTATAAGAATATCACAAGTTTAAGAAACTGTTTCAGGAAGAATTGGATACAGGATTGCTAGAATACAGCTTATACAATCACGAAATCCTGCTACAAGAAGAGAAGCAGCTCAAATTCTTCCCTATTTACAAACTAAACAAGGCACAGCTAGAGGCACTCAGGGAGTACTTCAACGAAAATCTCAAAAAGAGATATATACAACTGTTTCACTTATCAGCAGAATACTCTATCCTGTTTATACCCAAGAAGAACAGCAAGCTCAAGCTATATATTGATTATAAGCAACTCAATAATATTACAATCAAGAACTGATATCTGTTGCTACTTATTAAGAAACTATAAGATAGATTATAAAAAGTACAATAGTTTATAGTTCTAAATCTAAAAGAAGCTTATAATCTGATTAGAATAAAGGAAGAAGAAGAATGGAAAACTGCTTTCAGAATACGCTATAGATACTACAAATATTTAGTTATGCTCTTCAGTTTAATAAATACTCCAGCTTCATTCCAGAAAATAATCAATCACATTCTATACAAACATCTAGATCAGTTCATCATTATCTATCTTAATAACATTCTTATTTACTCTTGAACATTAGAAGAATACAAGAAATATATGAAAACAGTATTGCAAATGCTTCAGAATACAAAGCTTCTTATAGAATCTGCAAAGAGCTACTTTTATATACAAAAAGTTAACTATCTCGAATTTACAATCAAGCTAGAATGCATCAAGCTACAAAAAGATAAGATAGAAGCTATTAAAAACTAGCTAATTTCTAGGAATATCAGAGATATTAGATTTTTCCTCAGATACATTAACTTCTACAAGCAGTTCATTAAGAACTATAGCTGGATTATATACCTTCTTACAAATCTCACCAAAAAGAATCAACTCTTCGAATGAATCTCCAAAGCACAAGAAGCCTTTGATAAGATTATTAAGCACATCATCTCAAAGCTAATTCTGTATAAAGCAAATCTCTACAAACCCTTTGAAATTGAGACTAATATATCAGAATATGCACTTAGAGAACAACTTGGTTAGCAAAACAACTAAGAGCATCTAAGAATCATAAGCAACTTTTCAAAAAAGTTGAATAGCTTGGAAATCAATTACAGAATCTCTGATCAGAAACTTATAGCAATAATGAAAGCTTTTGAGAAATAGCAGCACTACCTCATCAGCGTATAACACTCAATCATAATTCACTCAGATTACAAGAATCTAACTACATTCATAACAATCAAGATTTTAAACAAGCAACAAATTAGATAAGCAGAATTCCTCTTACAATTCGATTTCAAGATTGTATACTGCAAAGACTTGGAGAATAAACAAGCAGATGCTTTCAGCAGAAGATCAAACTATCGAAATGCAAACTCTTCGAATATACAGAACATCTTCGCTCAAAACAAGTCAGAAAATCTTGTTAATGCATACAGAGAACTGAACGCTGCTCTCAGAATTGAACTCTCGGAGAAAAATTCAGAATTAATAACTCCAGATAAACAAAACAACTATATCAAGAATGTATATAATGCATCAGTATATAAGCACCAGAGAGTCAGAGCAATCTACAAATGCATCAAAAGATACTGGAATTTATCAGATCTTAGGAAAAGAATTGAAAGCATTCTATAATAATATAATAGCTGCAAAAAGAACAAAGCAAAAAGATACAAGCCTTATGAACTACTGCACTTCTTACTAATATTTATAATTATTTAACAATCCATCAATCTAAACTTTATTATCAAGCTACTTTTCTTATAAGAATTCTTAACTAAGATGCAATACAATAGCATTCTAGTAATGATTTGCAAACTGAGCAAGTATGCTTATTTTCTTTCCTACAAAGAAAGCAGTATAGCAAAGGAATTTGCATATATATTCCTTAGAACAATCATTGCTAATCATAGCATATTAGAGAAAGTAATCTCCGATAGAGATAGAAAGTTCAATTTGAAGTTTTGAATTTCGCTTATAAAACAGCTCAGAATATACTATAGAATGTTTATAGTATTTTATCTGCAAACAGATGAATAGATGGAAAGAATGAATCAGATTATTAAACAGTATCTATAATACTATATCAACTAGGAATAAGATAACTGAGTTAATCTGTTGCTTCTTGTATAGTTCGCTTATAATAGCGCAGATATAAGCATAATGAAGAAGTTACTATTCTTTGCATTTTACAGATATAATCCAACAGCTTATTACAAAGCATTATTAGGAGCAGATGCAGAAGCTGTGAATAAAAGAGTTAAAAAGATTAAGAAAGTTTAGGAGAAACTCCGATTAGAATTACAATTCGTTTAAGAACGAATAATGCAATATGCAAACTCCAAAAGGATTGAGGGATTAATTCTATAGGAAGGAGATAAGGTTTATCTACTTCGAAAAAACATCAAAATAACTAGATCTAGCAACAAGCTTAATTATAAGAAGTTAGAACTATTCAAAATCTTGCAACAGATTTCCCTAGTTAATTACGAGTTAGCATTACCTCATGGGATGAGAATATACTCAGT